CACACTCACCCCGAGGTGCCTCAGGTGTTATCAGTTAAATCAGCTAATTAGATTGCTCCCGTCCAGCATCACCCCATCATCCTCTCTGGCCTTAAAACAGTTCTTCTTCAGGGAAGCCCGCTCATTATACCTCAGCCAATTAAAATGTCCCGCAGGGGGTCAGAGGTCAGTGGTTAATCAATCAGAGGGAGCGGTGACTGTTGTAGTTATCAGATCGCGCTATCACCCAGGAAGTAGGGAAGATAAGGATACTCTTGTGAGTGCAGAGCAGTGGGGAGTCTGCATCACATCACAGGTCTAGCGAAAGCAGTAACGAAGCACGGGACACAGCGCAGGTATGGTGCAACTACAGTAGATATTTCTGGCTCTATTGGTGAACAGATTTGCCAACATTAATTTGTGTGACAAGATGACACACCGGTGAGGGCAAAAAAAATGTTGTACCAGTTTAAAGAGACGGAGCGAGAGATAATCAGAGAGTAAGTCCGACAGACAGATGTATGTTACAAAGGAAGCCATTGACTAAAACCACAGTTAACAGAGATCAGATACCACACAAAAGGGAAAGCAGGGCTCCATCACAAGACCTGAGAGAGCGGTGCATTGGAGACAGACGCCAACATTGACTTGTCTAAGTTAAAAGGCCTACTCTGCTCTGCCACGGTGCACACAGGGCTAACCGTTTACCATCTGAGCACTTTTAAGTTAAGGCCTCTTAATGGAGGCTTGTGATAAATGTCAACTTGATGGTGTGACTGTGGGCAAAGGAGGAGGAGAGATAAGTATGAAAAATAGAGCAAAGAAGGACTGTCTCAATTTTCCTTTACCCCCAGTGCAGTATATTCTGGGGAAAATGTATTTTGCATTATTCACACAGTAACAAACAAATAACAAAATAAATATGTCAATCTGTGTTCCTGTCTTTTCTTGAATGAAAAAAAAAAACATGGGGTCTGAGGTATACAAGAAAAGAAAAGTTTCATTCTTTTCTTGAGAAAAGAAAAATAATGTTTAGTTGCATGGTCAGCTGAGGATGCAACAGCAGGACTTTAAAAGAGCTATCTACTTTTCTCACCTGTAATCATTTTCCTGACTGGTTTTGATCCAATCTCTGCCACAGTTTAAAGGCACTTGACAAAAATATGACAATGTGTAACATTTCGCACACACATGCTTCCCAAATAGTAGCACTTCCCACAAGGCAGTATCAGTGAATTGTGCCATCAAAGCACTAAAGGGAATGGTGGATGAAATAAAACTGCTGTGAAAGAGCATGACTGATGCTGTACATGACAGGCAGGCCTCAGAGACAAGCAAGCCTCACCTCAGGCCTGCGCCCAACGCCTTCTGCACACGGACATCACACACACACACAACACACCAACACACACCACAACACCCCAAAGTTCCTCGGTCTTGCTCCCGGCCAGACGCCTCTACACTCACACCAGTCGTCATGCTCATCAGGATAGTTCTAAATCAGAGAAAAACGCCTTTTGGAACTGGCCATCTTTTTTGTTTTTTTTTTGCAGCAACAAGCACGACACCACACACACACACACAAAATCGGAACACTAACGTCAAACAAAAAACAAAACAAACAAACATACTAATATAACTTATACTAACATCTAAGAAGTTATCATGTGAACTTAGGAACTGACAGCAGTGTGAGTGATGAGACAGGCAGGAAACAGACAGTGTATGTATAAGCTTATATGGCTTGTCATTTTATCCGATATTTGTCCAACTACCTCACTTCCTAAGGAGATATCACACCCTCAACTGACTACTGTACTCTCTTGATGAGACTTCATCATTTATGGCATGTTGCAGTGTTTCGATCGTCTCCCCCTGAGAAAGCAGATACACAAGCACAAAGTGAGGGGAAAGTTGAGAGGGCAGCTGTCTCCGTAGGGTAATTAAATCACTGTGTTGTTTCCAATAGCCAGTCAAGGCAGTCATGCAGGTAAAGTTTAAATCACTACTATTAGGGGAGTTTTTGTAGCAGGGATAATATGGGGGTCTCAAGTTAACGTGCAAACACACACACACGTATATATATAC